CTCAGGTGACAGCTGCTGCATGTAAATGCCAGCACACCGCATGTAATTGTATGTGATATGATTACATACAGTTACAAAACAATCACTCTCCCTGGATGCATTTCTGTGTACATATTTGTGTGTGTGTGTGGGAAGGTGTGAGCATTTCTGTGTGTGCGTATTTCTGTGTGTAAGTGAATATGTAAATCTATTGGTCCTCTGATTAAAATTAAAACCGGTGAGAAAAAAACACATATACTGACACTGCACACATATACATATGTATACATACTGATATGACACACATACTGACATCACTCACAGAAATCCTGACAATACACACACAAACCAACACAAAAAAAATAAGGACATTAGATACAATGAAAGCATCACAAATACATATGCTAACATTATAAATACACGCAGACATTAACACTGGTACCGTATATAGTTAAATTTTATTTTGAAGTATGATAGTTGGCAAGAGGCCCCCAATGGAGAAGAAAAATTGTCCAGTGGCCCCCAAGTGAATTGAGTTTGAGATCCCTTATCTAAAACTGCTAGTGGCTGCAGGCTGGAGGAACAACAAATTCCCCAAAATCGGTAGCAGAGGTTAATGTGAGAAAATTAGTTTGCTGTAATACTTTCCATCCCATATTTTGAGGGTGTGGTGAAGAAAGGAGCTTATAGTTGCAGGTTGTACACGAGGCAGGAGCCATGGTAATGAGTGAATTGAGATTGGAGAACAAAGTTGGACTTCCAGTTCTACCTAGATGGGGCTTACGGTAGCAATCAAAGACTTGTCAATGACACTATCTGTGCCGCTTGAAAGAAGGTAAAACATTTGGGAGACCTAGGCCACCCCATGTTTTATGGATGAACATAATTTGGAGATTATGGGCCTTTTCTTATTTCAGAGAAAGTCCATGACATGGTTCTGGAAGGAGTTGATAGGAAATTTTAGAAATGGGGTTGGTAGGGTGCAGAAAAGACAGAGCAACCTAAGAAGTATTGTCTTTTTGATAGCGTTCAACTTCTTCATCCAAAAGAGGCTGTGTTGTGGCAAGGTAACCATTTTGTCTTTGAGTTTCTGAAAGATAGGAACATAGTTAGAGGTGTTTAGTGATTGGTGGTCCCTAGTTATGTTGATTCCCAAATATTCTAATTGGGTATTGTGCCATGTGAAGAAGACCTTAGCTTGAAAAGTCGTGACCATGTCAGATGGTGAATAGCTGTTAAATACTGAGGATTTCTCCTGGTTGATCGCGAGGTTGAATATCTAGGCGAAAGTGGAGAGCATGTTTGGCAAAGTAATGCTAAACCTGCTCTCCACCTTGAAATATACATTATAGTAGCGCCTTATAGTACATATGAAATTACATCAGACGCCTTATGGATATCTAAAGACAAGCATTCCAGGAGTTGTTTGGTGCCTGTCTGTGGGGAGCAAACATGTTAAGTCTGGTTGCTAAGATCTTTGAAAGTGTTATAATCTACATTTAACAGTGAAATAGGTCTGTAATTATGGAGATTCGATGCCTCTTTGTCAGGCTTTGGAAGCATGGCAGTAATGGGCCATAAGGGAAGAGAGGTGGAGGCCTGGATGGTGCTTTTAAGTTTTTAAATAACAAAGCGGGGGGCTAGTGTTTCATAGAAGTAGCATAGAAACAACAAACACAATACGTAGAAAAAGTCCACATGTATTTATGCAGGGCACTATTTGTTTTATTATCTGAGCTATAACTGATGTACACGTTTCAATTTAACCCACCCCAGTGGTTGACGGAAACCGGATACAACAAAGACTTAAAATGCTCAATGCAAACAAAGCAGTGGGTCCGGATAACCTTCACCCCAAGGTACTTAAGGAATTAAGCCAGGTTATAACTAGACCATTAATCCTCATTTTTAAGGACTCCTTAATGACTGGTAGGATCCCCAGTGATTGGTGGAGGGCTACGGTAGTCCCAATATTCAAAAAGGGGGCTAGGTGCCAACCTGGGAACTAATAGCCGGTCAGTCTAACATCGGTAGTTTGTAAAATGCTAGAGGGCATAATAAAGGATTATCTGGTAGAATTTGTTCAGGAAAACGGGATAGTTAATGACAATCAGCATGGGTTCAGGAAAGACCGTTCCTGCCTAACTAACTTGCTAACTTTTTATGAGGGGGTAAGTAGAGATATGGACGGAGGTAAGCCGGTAGATGTGGTATATCTGGATTTCTCAAAGGCTTTTGATACGGTACCACACAAACGCTTGCTACACAAGCTGAGGGCTATGGGCATAGATGAGGTGGTGTGTACGTGGATAGAGAACTGGCTACGGGAACGTGTCCAGAGGGTATCTGTAAATGGCACCTTTTCAGACTGGGGTAGTGTAATGAGCCTCAGGGTGTGTGTGCCTCAGGGTTCTGTGCTGGGTCCCATATTGTTTAACTTATTTATTAATGACATCGGGGAGGGTGTTAACAGCGATATTTCCGTGTTTGCGGATGACACCAAAATGGGGAGGGTAATAGACACGGACTTAGACACTATAACATTACAGGAGGACCTGGATAAAATAGGGGAGTGGGCATTAATGTGGCAGATGAGGTTTAATGTCGATAAATGCAAAGTAATGCACTTTGGAATTAAAAATAAACAAATGGGTTATACAATTATGGGTATGCCGCTAGGGAAGTCAGAAATGGAGAAGGATTTGGGGGTCATTGTAGACCACAAACTGAAAGGTAGTTTGCAGTGCCAGGCTGCTGTAAACAAAGCTAGCAGGGTCTTGTCCTGTATTAAAAAGGGGATGTATTGCAGGGACAAGTCTATAATTTTGCCACTTTATAGATCATTGGTTCGACCTCATCTGGAGTACGCGGTCCAGTTCTGGTCACCAGTACTAAGAAAAGATGTCCTTGAGTTGGAAAAAGTCCAGCGGAGGGCAACCAAACTAATTAGGGGTATGGAGGACCAGAGCTACGAGACAAGGCTACTAAATTTAAACATGTTCACATTGGAGGTGAGGAGATTAAGGGGGGATATGATCTCCATGTACAAAATGTTCAATGGTGGTAGCAACATTAGCAATAAACTGTTTAAAATTAACTCCATTACAAAAACTAGAGGCCACCACCTAAAATTGGTGGGAAAAAAAATTCCCAGCACAAGGGGCGAAGGGGGTTCTTCACAGTAAGATCAGTTAGGGTCTGGAACTCACTGCCACAGGCGGTGATTTCAGCAAACAATGTGGAATTGTTCAAGAAACTTTTGGACGATTTCTAAAGGGACCGTAATATACAGGGGTACAGGTACTCCTAGAATGAGATCCTAATAGGTTGGACTTGATGGACTAATGTCTTTATTCAACCTCAAATACTATGTAACTATGTAATCGAGGGATATTGTGCGAGTCCTCCAGTGGCAAGACAATTATTACTCTTTATGTTGTTATTGTCATAAATCAAAAACTCAAAAGAGCATACATTAAGGGGCTCTTAAGGTGTTATACAATACACTGAATCTCATATGTCTCATGAAAACATAATTTATTGATGATCCATATTAAAATCTCTTGTCTTTCATGCTTCTAAGATCATGTCCATAGTATCCAACATATTGATTACACATTACAACAGGGACGCCCACAATTTTTCGTTTGGAGATCTACTTTTCAAATGACTAGCTCAATGAGATCTACCAATGAAAAACACCGGCATTCAGGGGCGGGAGGGGGCATGGCGGTGCCTTGAAGTCAATGGCACCGCAGTCACGCCCCCCCCCCATCCGCAGTGTGATCACCCGCATCCGGAACACAGGCACATTAGTGCCTGCGTTCTGGTCCGGTGCGATCTGCAAAATTGCTGCAAGCACTATTTTTGTACATTGCACTGGACTGAAATGCAGGCACTAATCTATCTGCCTTCCGGGTGCGAGCGATCGCACTGTGGACTTCAATAAATCCCCCTCCCGCCCCTGAACTCAGCGAGCCGGCCGACTTGCATTCCAGTGCATTCTAGAGGCCGAACACTCTAGAACGCAGACTTTGTGGTGTGAACCGGCCTTCTCTCTTGGCTGTCTTTTCTCTCTCTCCTCGCTCTCTCCCCTGTTTCTGCTCTGTTTCTTCTCTCTCTCTGCTATCTCTTCTCTCACTTTCTCTGCTGTCTCTCCCCTGTCTGTCTTTTCTTACTTCCACTGCAGCAGCTTCCCAGGTCTCCTCTCGTGTGCCGGCGTCCTGTCCTCCCATGGTGCTCGTGTAGCTGACGTTGAACACGGGGAGAGGTGTCCCGCCCCTTCCCGTCTGCGGCGTCTGACACGTTCAGCCAGCAGCCACACGAGCACTGCTAGCCAGAGCCGTAGCTAGCTCCTTTTGCACCCAAAGCAAGAAGAAAAAAACATGCCCCCCCCCAACAGGCGTGTAACGTCACCCAGCGCCCCGCCTCCAGGATGTTTTTTAAATTATTTATTATTATTATTTTTTTTTTTACTGTTGGGGGGGCTTTTGGGAAATATCAAGGTGCTCGTGTGGCTGCTGGCTGTGTTCCATATAAATTATTAAACCCATATTTGTTAGTGGCAGCAGAAAAACTACTAAGTTAAACTTGTGTGAAAATTAGGAGGATATGTGTTGATATGTTTTTGTGTCTTTTCCTAGTTTGTTGAAAGGCCACAAAGGGCAATGTCTGAAGCTGGCCATATACCAGCTGCAGACATTGCAGATTTTCTGTGGTCAGATGGAAAAGGTGCAACAGATTCCTCCATCTACACTTAACTGTGTGGATGGAGTAATCTCCACCTGGGCCAATCTGTTGCACTGTTTCCATCTGACCACAGAAAATCTGCAGATAATTGTAAGGTGTATGGGCACCTTAAGGCATTATATTTTGTATGTAGGGGGCATGGGATGATACATTAGTTATTGATTATTCTTTTTAGAAGTATGCTCACCATGCTATTTATACACAAGGGCAAAACAGGCAGATTCAAATGTTAATCAGTTTTATTGCAATTAATTTTTATCTAATTTTTTTAGCCTAAGGAATAATTTAAAGAAGATGAACATTACCATCACTGATACAAATGCAACTGAAGGTAAAAAATATTTGTAAAATGACTGAATGCATTATTTTCAGCGGTGCTAAAGTAACGTACATGGACAGTTTGTTAATTGTCAACTATATAAAATAAAATATAAATGTGCTGCTTCAATGTCTCCTGTGTGGTACCAAAAAATTTAGGAGCTACTTGAATCAAACCAGGCATTAGTCTTAGTGTTTTAGTTGTTGTTTTCTTTAAACTTTATAAATAATAGCTGTCAACATACAACGATGGAAGATGTAAACATAAAAATGTTTTGATGGGGGCGTATGTGCGCAGTCACCTGGATGTATGCATTCAAAGTGAGCTCCGCATCAGTCAGGGAAACTAAACCCACTGACTCACATTTTGGCTGATTATTTGGTGCTCAGTTGGTACCTTTCCACTCCTGACACCCCACTGAACAGCCTGGTGCCCACAATAGTTATTTTAAACGCGAACAAGAGAGGTAAGCCCGGCCCAAAAACCATCAAGAAGGCTCTAAAGATAGCGAACAGAATGGCACCAGCCTTCTCGCAAGCTGACTCTCATCTCTGCCTGCTGATTCTGCTTTCTTGGCCCATTTTGAAGCCATGCTCCCAAAATTCCTGGGCAGAATGTCTAAGAAGTTGACTAAACTGCTAACAGAGAGATTAGGGATATAGAGACATCAACACAGTACTGGAAATCCACAAGGAGGTGGAAAGCCTTAAGAGAGATAATGCTGTCCTGTAATAACTTTTAAAAGATAATAAAGGAAGAAAAGGGAACAAATAAGCGCCACAACCTAGTGCAATATGTTATGGAATAGACCAAATGTAAGAAAAGTGACTAAGTTGCACTTACAAATCATATGCGTAATGTGAACTTCTCTAGGAATCTTTCCAGGATCTCATGGAACGTGTTTCACCGATTTGTCAGAAGGGGGCAGGATGTGGTGGCTGGTGGGGAAGACAAAAGATTGAAATGCACACACAGCGTTATTCTTTGGAAGAAAGACATGCCAGTTCCAGGATGTGTGTGGCACAGATCAGATCCTGCTGGACACTCTCTCCGATGGTGGTGGAGTACAGTCAGAAAGCTTGCTGTAGTACTCTTCTGGTGGTACAGGGGGAGCAGAACAGTGACAGCGACCAGCTGTGATCTCAGCATGGGTATTGTCAGTGAAGACAGCTGGTGCAGTGTCAGGATGGATCCTGGTCTTGTCAGCTAGGCTCTTTGACACGGGGGGGCTACGGCAGTGATTCAGTGCCTTTGTGGCATGTGATCAGAGTGTCCTTTTTGGAGACATGTTGAGGAGATCGGAAACATGATCAGGGAGCAGGCGGGAAGGCAGTCTGAAGGTGAAGGAGACGAACAGCAGTACAGAGAGCGGGTGTCCCTGGCTGTGGCTGCAACAGTTTGCTCCTGTCACTTGACTCAAGTGTGAATGTGGGCAGGAGACAGTATCGTGGAGTGGACGGGAAGAAATATGGGGAGAAGGGAGAGGACCATTAGGGAGAGATGTGGGGTGCCCGGGGGATGTGTTTTGAGGATCAACCACTTTATTAAGCCCAAAAGAACTGGGATTACATGAATAGTTTGTGCAGGCAGGAAAACATGCTATTTGAAAGTAATGGGGGCAGAGTTAGTGACATCGAGGTGGGGGAAAAAAGAAGAATGCGATGTATTGACATATGTTGAAACTAGAATTGATTTCTGAGGGAGTGCATAGTGGACAAAGGCAAAAATGGAATGGCAGGAAAAACAGAAACAAAAAAACACCACTTACTGCTATGAATGTGATATTGTGATATATGGTGTAGAAACAATTATTCTGAGAACAGAGGGATATGGCAAAAAAGGGAATGGCCGGGAGAACGAAAAAAAGATTCACAATTACAAAGGTAGACTACGGGGGCGTGGCCTGGAGACTCATGTGAGCGGACGTGCCTGAGAGAGCTCCGGCACGAGATCCTGATAATATCCTCAACATCCTCACTAATACTGTTTGATAGACACCTACGTACCTTCCCTGTAAACACCGGACCCCTCGAGACTGACAGGTACCGCTCGGTCATTCTCCGTTTTGTCGGGATGACGAGAACCAATGACGCGGCCCTCACTGGAGGTATGGACCTGCAAGATGGCCGCGGCTCGCGTGCGCCAGCCCAGACTCCTTGTAAACAACAGAGGGATCGTTCCAGGGATGTCGCCTCGAGGCTCGAGCAGTTTGCAAGGGGGGCACTGAGAGGACCATGCCGCAAGTTGCGAGTGACAGATGAGGGGGGCAGTGCCCAGCTGGCATCTCGCTCAGCTACTGGCACCGATGGCTCAGATCCTGAAGATGGTGCGGTGAGTGACACATGTGCTCCCCCCTCTACCAAGAAAAAAAAGAATAAGCCCCGCAGGTCTTCCCCGCAGCCCACGCTCAAAGATGTTTTCTCGGCCATACAACGCTGCAACTCATCCATATCCTCCCTCACCGACCAAGTACATGGGATGCGGGCGGATATATCGTTCCTACGGCATGACCTCCAAAAGGTCCGAGACAGAACCACCGTCTTGGAGGGTCGGCTTGGTGACCTTGAGGATGCTAATGCCCCCATCCAGGCAGACCTTAAATCCGCACTTCAAAGATCCACAGAGAACTCCCTTAAAACTGAGGATATTGAAAATAGACTGAGACGCAACAATATAAGAGCTGTTGGGATCCCTGAGAGGGCGGAAGGCCCCAACCCCACGCTATTTGCTGAAAAATGGCTGATTGAAACCTTTGGCAAAGAGTCCTTCTCCCCAATGTTTATGGTAGAACGGGCACACAGGGTTCTAACTAGACCTCTCCCACCTGGGGGTCCGCCACGCCCTATGCTGTTTCGCCTCCTGAATTTTTGGGATAAAGAAGTCATCCTCCGTAAGGCTCGTGAGATGGGAGAAATTTCCATGGAGGGATCCAAAATCATGCTTTTCCCGGATTTTTCCCAAGAGGTCCAGAAAAAGAGGGCTAAATTTCTCGAGGTAAAGCGACGACTTCGCCAACTCAAGTACCAATACTCCATGCTCTACCCCGCTAAACTTCGGGTCGTCGCGGATGGTGAAACCGTCTTCTTCGATTCCCCTATCTCTGCCTCTACCTGGATGGATAAGATGTCCCGCAAACATGGAGACCCTTAATATGGGGGTATCTGCTTCCGCAACTGGCGGATAATTCCACTCTACGACCCCAAGGTCCCATCTCTTTTTTGGAAGATGTTTACCTACTTACCATATCTTGAGTGCCGGAATCTCCGAGGATGGCAGCCCGCACTACTGTAGACTCCAATGTCTCCAGCCCCTTCCACGCAGCCTTTTTTTCTGTTTTTTTTTTGCGTGGAAAACGTCACACTGTTTTTTTTTGGTTTTTGGGTCAAGCCGGCTTCTTGTTGCCGGGGTTGGCCCGTGAGAGTTCGGTGATACTCTCCACCAATACGAAAGGGCTGATCTCTGGGATATATGCACTTCTCCTTCCGCGCTTTTTGGTAAGGTATCCGCTCTTAAGCAGGGGGCGATGGGAAGAGGAATTGGGCTCCATCTCGGAAGAGGATTGGGAGATGGCCCTACAAGGTGTTGGGCTCTCATCCTTGTCATCGTCACATAGGTGGACTCAAATATCTATCCTACATAGAACATATAGAACTCCGGAATTTCGGTGTAAAATAGGGATGCGGACCGATGCCAAGTGCCCTAAGTGTGGCATGGCACCGGGCTCCCTTATACACCTGCTGTGGCGCTGCCCCAAATTGGTCAGATATTGGAGTGGGGTCACTGCAATCATTAGTTCAGTCTTCGCGGTTCAGGTTTCTTGCTCTCCGTAATTTAAGTGTTTTGAATAGTCGCAGCATTTGCTGGGCACGGTTTGTATTCCGGAAAATACATGGTGGCAGTGGAAGTTTTGTGGGTAAAGGGTTAACTGCGGAGTTAACCAACCCTGGTGACGATCGCTCTCAGTCTGCTGGCCTGAGATTGTGTCCTGCGAGCTGGGAAATCTCTGCGCAGGGTGAGGCTGAGAGTGGTATCGCCACGTCCTTGTGACGCTCACGCTCGGTTCAGACTGGTGTATGGTCACGTGATATTGACGTACAGCGAGTCTGGGCTGGGCGTACGTCACACTTGGTATCCTATCTCCCCATGTAGGAGAGGCTATATACTGCAGGAGCTCGGTAGAGTAGTTTGGAGATAGCTTATAGGGTTAATGATCTCTGACGTGGTTGTGCAAACGTGTGGGATGCCCTGATGTAGGAGGGACCACGAACTGGAGGTTGAGAGGCGTATTCTAGGACCTAATGCAAGCTTTGTACCCCTACTAGTTGTTAAGATATTTGTTGGTTCTTTACCCAGTGTCCTCTGTATTTGTATACCCTTCCCTAGTGTGTTTGTGATTTGATTGCTGACAATAATCTGTGCATCTGTACTTAATCATCTTGTACCGAAAAGCAGCATGTCACTGTATTGTTATGTCTCTGCAAAACTTTAATAAAAATTACTTGATTTAAAAAACAAACAAAAAAAAACAAAGGTAGACTACAGAATAGTATGCATATCTATATCCTCATTAAGTCCTATGGGAGATAGAGTATTGAGTTTGAAGATCCAACGTGTTTCTTGTTTCAACAGCCAGTGGAAAGGCTCAGGAAGGTGTTGGAAATCTGTTCAATGGCAAATTCCTGTAGATCTTTAATGTTTTTGCGCTTTAGAGCAAAATGTTGAGGCACACTATGTTCTAGTGTGCCTTTTCTATAACACTCCTATGGTCCCCTATTCTTTTTCAGAGGGGACGGATGGTGTGCCCTATGTATTGTAAGCCACAAGGGCATCTGAGGCCATATACCATGTGGTCGTTGGAGCAGGTGATTAATTGCATCTGATTTTGATTCAAATTGAATGGTGATTTTTGAGCTGTCTTGGAAGTTTGCTTGGCTATGTTGTATAAATTGACAGGTGAAGCACTTGGGCTTGTTGCACCTGTGGGCCCCTTTCCTATTGTCAGAGAGGAAGTTTCATTTGGGACTTGGTTTGATAAGCTTGCTTGGGGTTATGGGATGGTGGCGACTTTTGTAGTTCAAATAGAAATTCCCTCCTGTAGGTGTGAAGTGGTTTTTATAGTGATGCGGTTGTGGTTATGGGAGAGTTTGAGGTCCAAAAAAACCAATGTGTTGGGATCAATAACATGTGTGAAGGATGGCCTAAACGTGTTATGGTTACAATGGGTGACAAAATCGGGGATGATCTGTGTAGGTCCATCCCAGATGATCAGGATGTCATCTATGTATCGTCCATAGAATACTTTATGTTTGGCGAAGTGGTTGTGATTTCAAAGGAGAGATGTTCCCAATAGACATGTGCGATTTGTTTTTCTGAAAGATCCGTTATTTGGATGAGTTTTTCGTTATTCGGAGACTTGGATACATCTGAGTTGAGGTGTCATATGAAAAGTATTATGACACCTCGGCTCACAGACCCGAAAGGCATTCAGGAGCTCACAAATAGCATTCGAGAGCTCCCAAATGCTATTGTGTTATTTGACAGCTCAGAATGTCAAATGGGCGGAACAAGCCCCATGATGTTATGGCTCGCTCTGCCCATTTGTTTGCGTTCTTGCCAGAGATGTAATTTTGCGGCAAGTCTTTGTCGGGTTCGGACAGGTCATTGTGCGGTGGGACATTTTTTTATTTCGGCAAGTCAGTGGGCGTCGTTCATCGTGATTGATGCTGGACTACATCGATGGAGCCATTTTTTTTTAAATAAAGGAATTTTTACTAAAAGTGTGGTGTGTTTTTTTTACATTTTAGCTTAACCCTTTAGTGAATGAGTAAGGGGTACTTGTACCCCTACTCATTCACTAAAGGGTTAAACTAAAATGTAAATAAACACACCACACTTTTAGTAAAAATTCCTTTAATTGAAAAAAAAAAGACATTACAAAAAAAAATGGCTCCATCGGTGTAAT